TTCTGTCTGTTTGGTAATTGGGTGGTTGGTCCTAACCTCAGCCCAGGTCAGCTGCAGGATTGGTCAGCCAATCATGACACGGACAAAGAAAAACATGAATAAAAACATAAATGTATGCATAAATAAATAAATACATGTAGAAGTGGACGTCTGGAAATGCTGAACTAAATCCAAGACATTCATTTGATTAATTATTAATTTAATTACGTATTTATTTATACATATGTCATTTTTCCTGCTCCATAGGTTTTTGAACAAACAGTAATGAATAAAATGACCAATCAGAACACAGAACAGTCCCGGCCTCTCCTTCTGTGGCCTTTTTCTATAAGTCACTGTTGCAGCTTTTAGATCTAAACATGAATTAAATGAACTGACCTCATACCTCCTCTCTGCTCCAGCTTATGTGATTTTAATATTTAATATTTGACTTTGAATTATTGATACATACAGCTGAGAGCTTCCGACAGATATATATGGTATAAATATCAATAAATTTATGCCCTAATAAATAATTTTTGGTCTTATTGTCCCGAATTTGAGCATGAAGCAGGTGTTATTCTGTGTGCTATTAAAACAAAAGAGAAGCTTTCTGTCTGTCGGCAACAACGATGACTTTCATTATTGATTAATCTGCTGATTCATTGTTTGGCTTGTAAAACATCAGCCAATATTGAACAATGACTCCAGAGTCCAGTGTGACATTTGCGTTCTAGCAAGTCAAGAGTCAACTTATTGATTAGTCACCTGGAAGAAAAATAATCAACAGTGATCCTTTAATTGTTGTTGTAAAGTTGTGTTTTTATTGTAGAACGTTGTACAGTTAGGTTTATGCAATCTGGATTTTTCAGTGGTCAGGGGCAGCAGAGTCATTTTAACAAGTTTTAACCAAGTTACCGTCAAGCAAAAGGTTCAAAGTATTTTCTCCCATCATGCCTTTCTTCTGTCCCACAGATAGCAGAGCTGGTGGTGGACAACAGTCGCTCTGCAGACGGAGAGGTCGAAGGTCTGACGGACGAGTTCACGGAGCTGGAGTTCCTCAGTATGGTCAACGTGGGTCTGAGCTCGCTGGCTAAGCTGCCCTCACTGCCCAAACTACGCAAGGTAAGCAGGCACCTGGCAGGTGTAGTGAGCTGCAGGAGGAAGGAGACCAAGTGTAAAGATGAGCTACTCCAACATATGCAGGAGGATTGAAATATTTCTCTAATGTCCACATGTAGGTTTGCTTTTGGAAAGAAACACTAAAACATCTGTCTTGACGTCTTTGATTTTAGTGTTTTTATGCATAACGCGTCTGACAAAGTTGAAATTTTTATCACAGTGTCTTTGATGTTTACCTGTGAGGAATCGATCACTTCATCATTTCACACTTTTCTGTGTAAACTGGCTCTGAACATGGCTCATGTTGGGTTTGTTCAACTGTTCTTGCTTCTTGGAACTCCTGATATAAAAACACTGAATTTAACATTGTTCTGTTGGACGCTTCAGGTGTTTGTTATGTTGAGAGACAGATTAGAAAAAAATGGATTCATGACAGGATGGAGATTCTCATTTGACTAACAAGTGCAAAAGTAGTTTTTTGATAATGTTGTGATTTTGGAATAAAGAACGCACCGACAGCAGTGCAGCACCTGGACAGGTGTGTTTAGGCAGTGATGTGTCTGCAGGACACCTGTTGGTCCAGCAGGTGTCACCTTTGTGCTTTAGCTCAGACTCAGGTAAGACCTGAAACTGAGATGGCAGCAGGTCAGACGGCTCAGCTCTTTGTCCTGGTGAAATCTTTGACTGTATGAAGGTTTATAATCAATACAAACGCCCAGTAGAGGTCAACCCATGTGGGGTTTTCATCTGATGAAGTTCAACAGTTTCATTTTATTAAAAAAAAAAAAAAAAAACATCACAAAATCGCTCAATTTACCTGAACATTAAGACTATTGTGTCTATATCGTCTCTCCTTTAGTAGTTTTTTTTTGGACACTCAGTTGCCGGTTTATTAGAAACGCTGATCTAAAATAAACGTAGTCTAATGCACCAGTCCTGCAAGTTCAGTTTAACAGCTCCACAGACTACAAGTCAAGAGAGATTGTTCTCTCTTGACTGATCGCACTGCTGTTCTCCCTCCCAACTCCTCTTCTCCTGACTATACTTCTTTCAGTTGTCTTTTTGGTTGTTCTTTCGACTGTTCACGTGGCTGTTTGCCTTCTTTGCTGTTCTTGTGACTGATCTCCTGATTGTTTTATATTGCGACTATTCTCCTGACTGCTCTGCCTGTTCTCCTGACTGATCTCTCTCCACTATTGTCCAAGCGGTTCTGGCTGTTCTCTCGGCCGTTCTCTCAGCTGTTCTGTCAGCTGTTCTCTCGGCCGTTCACTCTGCTGTTTTCTCAGCTGTTCTCTAGAATGTTCTCCTGACTGTTCTCTCTCCTCTAGATTTACCGACTGTTCTCTCTCCTAAAGTTCACCTGACTCCTTGACTTTTGTTTTTTTCCCTGAATGTTCTTTCTCCTGACTGTTCTCTCTTCTAAAGTTCTCATGGCTGTTGTCCCTCCTGGCTGTTGTCCCTCCTGGCTGTTCTCCTGACTGTTCTCTCTCTGCTTCCTCAGTTGGAGCTCAGCGACAACAACCTGTCAGGTTCTCTGGAGACTCTGTCGGAGAAGTGTCCCAACCTGACCTACCTCAACCTGAGCGGGAACAAGATCAAAGAGCTGAGCACCGTGGAGGCTCTGGTCAGAACCTCTCTCATCTCACATTCTGTGTACAGCTGCTAACACGCTAACATGCTAACACGCTGTGTTCTGCTGCAGCAAAACCTGAAGAGCCTGCAGAGTCTGGACCTGTTCAACTGTGAGATCACGTCTCTGGAGGACTACAGGGAGAGCGTGTTCGAGCTGCTGCCTCAGGTCACCTACCTGGACGGCTTCGACCAGGAGGACAACGAGGCGCCCGACTCGGAGGCCGACGATGAAGGTGAGGCTTCGGTTCAAACCTGAGCAAACGGTTCCTCCGTCCTCCGTCTGACGGTGTCTCTGTGTTTCCAGACGAAGACGGCGAAGACGGAGCGGGACCGACCGGAGAGTATGACGACGACGAAGACGAAGAGGAGGATGAGGACGGCTCAGAGGGAGGAGAGGTGGGGCTGAGCTTTCAGGTGAACCGGGGCGATCAGGTGGGCAACTCAGGCTTCAGTCTGTAGGTAGATTCCCATCATGCACCTGTGCTCAGCCAGGCAGAGAACCAGATCCAGACGACGCGCTGTGTCTGACCTTTGAAGGGCCGAATTCTCCCACAATGCACCAGGAAGCATTTAAACTATGATTTTAAAATACTTATTTAGACTTCATGATGAGTTAAAACTTGTCTTGATAAGTAGTTTCCATGGTAACGACAGCAAACAGAAGCAGAGAAGAAGATTCAGTGAATCTTCTAAAACAAATCCGATGGAGTCCAGTTCTCTGGCTGGTCTGAACTGAGCCGTCTGATGGGTTCACCTCAGGTGTGACTGTGGTCTTGACCAGGTTCAGCACCAGAATGGCCGCCTCTGACACAGGACGGAGGTTTTTCTATGCTCTATAAGAGGTTTTACACTTACTTCTCAACTATTTTATCATTTTCTGCAGTTGTTTGGAACATAAGTTCTAATTTTCTTATAGAAACTCAAGCAGAAAAAATGCAGATGTTAATATGAGACTGCAGCCACACGCAGGACAATCATGTGCCATTGATTTTTAATTTCAATGAAGCTTCCTGTATCATTACAGGTTAAATAAAAAAAATAAAAGTAATTTACAGGTGCTTTAAAAAAAAAAAAAAACCTAAATCATGAGGTTTCCAGAAGTTAGCTTTATCTGTAAAATGCATCGTACCTGCTGCTGAACAGCAGCCTGTCAGAGTCGGTCTGATGGCGGTCGGCCTGGTCACAGTGACGTAGAGCTTCATTAGTGTCGTCCATTTAGAAAGTGCGTGTAGCTCACAGCTGCTTTTATTTTGAAAGTGAAGTAAACGTTAAACTCCTCCTCTTCTTTTCTGTCTGTGCTTCATCACAGGACGAGGATGAGGAGGACTATGCAGAGGAGGAGGAGGAAGGTGAGCGCTTGTTTTGATGTTGCAGCTGAAAGTGACACCCAGGTGATTGTGTGCAGCGCTCTGATTGGTCTGTTGTGTCTCTGCAGAGGACGCGGCAGGCGTTCAGGGACAGAAGAGGAAGAGGGACGTGGACGACGAAGGCGAAGATGACGACGACGACGAGGACGACTAGTCCTCCAGCCGAGCGTCGTCTGTGTGTCGTCCTGTCCCGTTTCTGTCCGTCTCAGTCCACCTCCGGACCCGACCTCCGCCAGACAGCAACCACGGCAACCACGGCGCTGCGACCCGAGATAGTTGGTTTCAGTTTGTAATAGAATCACGTGTTTATTTTTAGATGATATATGAGATTTACAGAGAAAGATTTTATCTGAACTCCTCACGTTTCCCTTTAAAACCTGGTTCAGGATCAAAGCTTGTGTCTGCCTCCTCTCCACATCCTGGACTCTGGTCCTCGTCTCAACGTCTCGCTGGACGGCTGAAGTCCGGCCGCAGTTTTCTGGTTCCTGACTGGACTTCGGTGTGATTTCGGCTCCTGCTCGTATGAATCTGTCCTCACAGAAACAGGGTGATTTCTTTCACAGCTTCAGGGACAGCTCTTCTCCTGCTGGCACTAACGGACCTTCTGATGTAGATTTCTGCTTAAGTCCAGTGCAGATTCGAGATCCGTTCGTCCCACAAATTAAAAAAAAAAAATCAGATATGAAAAATGCTGATGCTGGTGCTGCACATGTTGTATTTTATTTAACACGACAACAACACGTGCACGTAAATTTACAAGTAGCTCATCAAACAGAAGACACACAAACTGTTTGTGTGTGAATCACCTCTTGTGCAGCCTGCTCAGTGCAGGGTAGGAAAACTCAAACCCTCTATGACAGCGGCAGCTACAGTTCAGGAACAACTCGGCTCCTGTGCTCAGAAATTATATTTATATTTCCTAAAAACCCAACAGTATTTGAAATCACATTGAAACTTTCGTGTTTCCTTGCAGCACGTGGCTAAAAATAGTTTGTACAGACGCTTTTAAAACAGCGATTATTAAACAGTTATACACTGGTGTTCAGAGAAAATGCATTACCCAGAAATGTCTCAGCAACACCTCCTACTCCCCTCACATTTTGAAGCAAAAAAGCCAAAGTTACCAAACTTAGAATGGCTGCAGCTTCTTAACCGATCTGACTGTTGCATGAAAGAAATCTGCAAAAATTTCTTGTGAAAGCATCAGGAACCCTGGAAAAAGAGGCCTTTGAAGAGAGTAGTAGCCTGAAGTAAAAACATATTTGTCCATATGAATAACTTATTTGCTGAAAGTCACCACTGATGTGATATTACATGATCACCTACGTCTGTTTTGTTCTGATGCAGCCTGTAAGAAATCTCGTCTGACGTTATTGTGATAATAATTAGAGTTTTGAAGGGTGATGCACTTTGTTTGAACATCAGTTTAGTTCATGCTGTGGAGTCAATTTAAAGCTCACAGAGACTCTTTGTCCTGCTCAGGCCCTTCACATTCGCTTTAACCCTCTGAACTCTAAGCAGGTTCTGGGCATTTTTACTCACTGTGGGCTCATTTTTTCAATATTGACAAAAAGAATCTACACACTGTAGATATTTTACTACCTACATTTTTCCTCTCTGCTCTGTGTAAGCACAGCCTGCAGTTCAGCCGAGAAGTCACAGTTGAGTCACTAATGTTCAAACGGTTACCTGGTTGGATAAAAATGGTTTGTTTTTGGCAACAATTTTTAACTGAGATTTGTAGAATAATCGTGATTTTAAGCTTTGATTTGGTCAAGTTTTCTGACTGAGCAGCACATCACAGATGAGTGCTTCAGTGACTGTCAGACAGGTGAAAATCTGTTTTGTTTTTACGGTTTTTAGCTGATAATTTGTGTCATTTTGGTTTTTTAATTCTTTTTTTTAAGACAACATGCCTTTAAACCCGCCGGCGGGTTTTTGGGGTTCAGAGGGTTAAACAACAGAGAGCTGTAATTACATGTGTCCATCAAAACAATACGAAAGTGACAATCTTCAAAGCTTCATGCAGCCGTGCAGTCAGTGGCAGCGCTACCTGGGACTACGCGTGTCTCGTAGTCTGCACTGGGCTTTATTCGTTTGCTTCCTGCGAGCTGGAACTGTCTGAAAACCATCAGTGTCACGTGCTATTATTACACCAAGTGTGCAGCCGTCCCCCAAACATGGAGTTTCACCCGCAGTAGAAACGTCTCCTCTGGACCTCCTTTTTCCTTCCAGGTTTTTATTGTTCGGCATCAGAGACGGTTCTGCAGGAACAGGACGTGAACGCGTTCTCAGGAGCCTCAGACAGGACAGACCATCCACACTGAATCTGATCCTCAACTTTAAAACAGACCAGAGAACAAGAAGCCGCTTCGTCTTGCAGCCATATCAGTCTGAGCGGAGCGGAGAGGAGAGCGCCCCCTTCAGGACCGCACAGCCAGTCAGGGATGTTCACTCGGCCCCGTCACAGTTAGAGATATGCAGACCTGCTGTAGCTCAGGTCCACATAGGAGATCCTAGTGATGATCATATTCCCAGTGTGTGTTTGATTTGTTGTAGGGGGGAGATAGGGGGGGCGGGTGGGAGGAATATTTAGTTCTGATGTGTTTTTCTTTTTGTGTTATTGATCAGCAGCTGTTGATGTTTTTAGTTTGATGTAAAACCGAGCGGCTCGTCCTCAAACTGCCCATCCCTGCGTGATGATTACACCGCCGCCGTGTCGCGCTTCAGGCTCCGCCTCCAACAAAACGACCTCACCTTTGACCTAAACCCACTGGAGATGTTTCACGTATGGTGCGTTCAGGTGTTCTCCGTCACAGTCAGAAAACAAACGAGTATTAAGAAATCTTCCCCAAACAGCTGCTTTTGAATTGATCCAACTTTATTTATACTGAACCAGCTGTACAGTCAGATGCTTGCTGAAGCACCAACACCTGAAAACAAACACCTCAGATGGTCCCACCTATTTCTGACTTTACGTGCTCGTCTTAATGCATTATTTGTGTGTGCAGTGCATCCTGGGATTTTGAGTACGGAAGTCTTCAGACTAACAGGCTGCTTTTCATGATGCTAACTTCTGCTTTCTCTCTCCTTCTGGAAATCGTTCCCCCTCCGCCATCATGGAGGATTTTCCAGTTACTTTAACGCACCTCGAGGGGACGAGGAGGCTTCAGGAGGAGCTCAGAGATGAAACTCATTTCTCATTTGGCAGCTTCGGCTCGTCCGTCCTTGCATCACTTCTTTACATCTCAGCTCCTCTTATCATCATGAAAAGCAGCTCCACAGCAGCGTTTTTCTTTGTAGGAGGCGGAGCCTGAACTGGACACACCTGTCACATCTGATTCAGGTGTCGCTGCTCTCTGCAGCTTTTAACTCTACTTCCTCTGGCTGTGTTAACAAGGACCAAACCCGACCCGGCAGGAAGTAAACGAATCATTCAGATATTTAAATTCTTTATGAGCACAGACACAGAATGATCATGAGTCCATCAGCAATCTGAAGATATATTCATCTGTTCGTTTGTGTCCTGACGCGCTCCGTTTGGTCATAATGAAGCAGCTGCTCTGACTTTTAACTAACTGCTGTAAACTTTGAGCTTTTCTCGTTTTGCACTCCTAAAAACAACACGACTGTTTAAAAGCACCTACTTTCATTGTGCGATAGCTCACCGACTTCAGAGACTTTTTTTTGAGGTCAGCAATTCTAATCCAGTACTATTTTTAGAAGATTCACCAAATATCTTGTCGCGACTCGCTAGCTGTCCCTCCTCTGTGCACTGAAAATAAAATCCATGTGTAGGCAAGATGCGAGAAATGTCCTTGAAGCAGGCGAGTTATTTATACACAATTCCATCATATCACGTTACCAACAGCTGCCAAAATTCACTCTGAGGCTTGTCGTCATTTTAACACGTTTTTCTAAATTCAGGTAAACTTTTAACAAACTTGATTTAAATGTACGAACGTGTAAATCAGGCAACACAACAAGGACTCCCAGCCCAGAGGTTGGAGAATTCTATCCACCGTATGTTTTCAGGAACTCAGAGGTTTGATGTCTAGCTGCATGTAAAGCTGAAATGATTAAAGAATTAGTCAGTGAGCAGAAAAACATTTGTTCAGCTGCAACATAAAGGCTGATTTGACTGAAGAAAACATCAGCGTTTAATAAACTGAAGTCCACCAACGTGAACTCTGGAATACTGAAAAATCATTTCCAAAGGCCAGTGAAAAAGAGACGAAATGATCGACCAGTTCACTGAAAACTTACTTGGCAGATTAAATTAAAATGATCTCCATGTTTTTATATGGGTGGGAAGCCAGTGAGGGATCGTATCCAGGTGAACAGTTAAGTCACAAGTGTTGACACGAACCACAGAAACAATGAGTTTAAAAAAAAACTGGTGTGTTAAACTGCTGTGTTGTTTTAAGAGTGTAAAAGTCGAAGGTCACGTCTGTCGGACCTGCTGAGGTCAGGGTCGACTCCGGTTTTTAAGGCAATATTGTAAATAGACTCTGGGCTCAGCTTCAGGTTGGTTTTTATTTTTTAAAGATGTTTGTTTCCTGCAGCGAGGTGGTAGTTGACCCCGTCTCCGACCTCTGACCCCGGCTCCTCCGTCAGCTGTTACTCCCCCTCCGTCATCCCGTCTGTGGGGAAAAAAACTGTGTTTGACTTTTTGTGGTGTAACAAAAACATGTCGAGGGTTTTGAATAAAAAACACAAAAGGAAAACCACAGTTTGATGATGATCTGGTCTCTTCACCGTCACGTGTAACCCTGCGGGCTCTCAGGATCTGTGTTCAACTCGCCGTCCTTTGTTTTTCTGCTCTGAAATACATTAACTCAAGTCTTCATTTCCCAGAATGCCCTGCATGTTGTCTTTACAGCCAGAGAATGAGTCAAAGCTCCACTGACCCTCAAACTATATTTAACTGAAACACAACTGTGAGCTCAACCTGGACAAGACGAGGATCAGGGCTCGACAGCGTCTTCTGAGCGTTCCCTTCACATCGTCTGACAGGAAGCACCTGAACACTCGAGCCAGCGACCCGCCGAACGTCGATGTACGTGAGTTTCTGTTTCAGCAGCTCATCATTACTGATTACAATTTATTGATTACAGAACAGGACAAAACGCAGAAAAAAACAATTTAATGGAAAAAGAAAATACAATAAAAATGCTAAATGTTAGAAAAAAATTTAGTAAACAGTAAACAATGAAATGATGTATGAATAAAAAAATAAATAGGTGTAATTTGAGCAAATGTATAAATAAAAGGAGATAAAAATGTTAGCGGATTTAAAAAAAAAAATCTTAATATAAATAAAAAGATAAAATGCTAGCAGAAAAAAAGGTGATTGTAGAAAATAATGAAAACTAGCTAAATGAAATGAAAAAAGAAAAATACTTTATTTATCCCAGAAGGGAAATTCAATTAAATAAATATATATAATAATAATAAATATATATAATATAATAATAATAATAATAAATCAATTCAACTAAATAAAACTAGTTCACAGAAAAATTCCAATAAAAGTAAAATGTCAAAATAATAACGAATTAATTTTTGTGAAAATCTATAAATATACATAGATAAAGTTTAAATAAAATAGAAAAATTAGTAAATATTTAAATAAATAGACCACATGTTGCCCCCCCAAAAAATAATTGAAAAATAACATAAAATATTAATAGGCGGGGAGAAAACACATGTAAATACAGTATTTATGCAAAAGTTTGAAACCTGTATATATAATATGTGAAATAGAAGCAAACTGGATTAACACAAGATAAATAAAATCATACCAGAAAGTTAGTTTACTTAAACCCCCCAAAAAATCTAGATACTGAAAAAGTGTTCAAGTATAAGTTTGATAAGTTTCTCTGAAAACGTTGATAAAATATTTGCACGTCATTTATGAAAGTAGAACAGCTCAGTCCCTCTGACTGAGAGTTAACTGAAAACAACTGACTGTGTAAAGGTACCCTGAAGGCAACATGAGTTCCAGTTCAGCCTGTAAACAAACAAACACTGGATCAGCTGATAAACATCAATGAAACAGGAGAGAGGAGGAGACAGCAGAGGTCAGCAGGGGAAAATGTAGAGAAAGAAAAAGATGGCGATGAGAGAGGAGTGTGTCAGAGGTCTGACTGAATATTGATCAGCTGTCAGACGATGAGCTGTGTGTCTGGTGTTCGTCCTGCAGGGGGCGCCGTCGTCCTCTAGTCTTCACTCTTCCTCTCCACGTATTTAAAGAATGTATTTAAGCAGGGCTCTGAATTAAAGGACAGTCCCAGTATTTAATGTGTGTTGGTGCTTTAAGTCAACACTCAGCTTTATTTTAACTTCATGGCTCCTCTTTCCTTTCCTTCCTCCTCATCTCCTTCACTGCTTCCTTATGCAGTCTGTGTTTGACTGTTTCTTCTGCAGAATTCACACCAACATCTTAGCAGACAGTTTGTTCTTCTGTCTTTGTTTTAGATCTAAAGAATTTAACATCAGTTGTGACTTTAGGTTTGATCTTAGATTCACTGTGTTCTAACGAAGGCCTCTGAAATACAATTTGGTGAAACTGCAAAAACTCACGTAATCAACCCTCCATACTCCAAGCAGTTTCTACAGGAATTTTTTTGCACATTCTTACTCACTATGGGTTCGTTTTTCACTGCAATATAAAGTCCTGCACCTCTATGGAAACAGAACAGCCATAGCTGGAAGTAGAGAGAACTCAGAAATGTCTTCTGTGCAGTGTGACACATTTATAATGTCATAGATCATAAAAACAAGAGCTGAATTTCTTTGATTACTTCCCAAAAATGGGGGGAAAATTGAATCAATATGCACAACATATTTCCAGGTGACACCAACACAGGAAAATAATAGCAGCTATTTTCCTATTCTTATCTTAAATTTGTGTCCATACGTGTCTCCTCTCTGCTCTGTGTGAAACAGTTCAGCCAAAGAATCCTGAATATTTGTCACATGACTGTTGGTGGCAGATGAGTCTGAGTCATGACTTTATAGTTCTATCAAGCAGCGCAGAATATTTAGGTTTTTTTTTTTTAGCAAATCTGGTTCGGGGAAATGGTTTGTTTTTGATTGTTTAAAAAAGAAAAAGAATCATGCAGGATAAAGGATTTTGATGAAATCTCAGTTTAAGCTTCCTGTCCTAAGAGAAAGTTAAAAAGGCAACAGTTTGGTCCATTTAATAAATGGTGTGATTGGTCTGAGTTTTCAGGTTCAGATGGTTCATCCTTGTTACTGTCACATTAATTATAACAAGAGACACTTCAATGACACCAAAATGTAGCCGTAAGCAGCTTGAAGGACATTTTTATAACTTCTACGACAAACACAGTTTTCATTTATTATCACTTTATGCAGCAGCAGGAGTCAAACAACTCATTAACAAATCTGCTCACAGCTGCATTAGAAACCACTTAGTTCACGTTTCAGGCTGATTAGAGTTGAATAATGTATTCATAATATTTAATTTATGATGATAAATTAACATTCTGTGTTCGCTCCTGCAAGGAGACAAGTGAGTAAGGAAAGGAGACGAGGAGGTTGCCCCCTGACCTCTGACACCTCCTTGTCTTTGTGACATTAAAACAGATCAAACTGTTAAATTGTCCTTTAATGGAGGCAACAGCTGTGGCCTCTCCCCTCGGCCTCCCCTCGGCCTCCCCTCAGCCTCCCCCGGGAGCCTCCTGTCTGAACTCCTCCCAGGAGAAAACACTTCAAACTGTCAGTCACAGGCTGCAGCTGCTCCTATTGGTCACCGAGGGTCACGTGATCGCCGGAGACTCGTCATTAAGACGATGTTTAATGACGCGCTGGACTCTGACTTATGCTGCAGCTCTGATCTACGTTTACATCCAGTTGCTGCATGAAAAGCACAAGGTCAGCCATGATGACATCAGAGCTGCAGCGGCAACAATCAATCAGCCGATCGATTCAGGCGGACGTGATGTCGCGCTGCTGTGAGCCATCAGTTATCAGAGGGCTGCTGATTGATTTCCTGAAGAGAACCAGTCAGACGCCGAGTCCAACAGCCAATCAGAGGAGGTCATAAAGTGAGGTGGTGAAGGACGGCAGGGGTTAGATGTTGGTTAGGGGCTCCCAAGTCAACGTGTTCACTTCAACCCTCCACATGTAAAAGGCATGTTTCCCTTAAAAACTGTCAAAAAACAGTGAAAATAGAATCAAAGGATTTAGATTTGAAACTGCTCATCTGTGACGTGTCGTTCTGCCAGAAAACTGAACCAAATAAAAGCTTAAAATACTTTTATTCTACATGACTTTTTAAAAAGTTTGCCCCAAAAAATTGTTTGCTCTGATCGTATTCTACAAAATAAAATAAAATAAAATAAAATATCATACTTCTCGGCACAACCTTAAAGCCGTTCATGACTCAGCTGCAGCAAACAGTCACTCAAAAAACATTTCAGTTGAACTGCAAACAGTGTTCACACAGAGCAGAGAGGAGACACGTATGGAAGCAAGTTAAAAATATAAATAGTAAAATATCTCCAGTATTTCGAGCCACCTTTTCTTTTCCCAGTGCTGGTAACTTGTTTGGACACTTGCACGTTTTTTGTTTTTTTCTCAAGAATTTTCTCTCTTTTTTTCTCCAATTTCTGGCATTATTATAACTGTGTCATACTGCACAGACACATTTTTAAATTCTCTCTCCTTCTAGTCACAGTTGTTCTGTTTCCATAGAGATGCAGGACTTTTATGTTGCAGTGAAAAATGAGCCCACAGTGAGTAAAAATGTGACAGCAGCAAAAACACTTAGAAACCGCAGATGAACAACCCTTTTTATTGTGACTCCTATTGTCGCCCTGTGGAGCAGATTTACTGCCCTGAAGCTGCTCCACGGACTCTCAGCTCATCGTAGAAAGGTCACGTGACCTCACCTTTACTGGGAGCTCTGGGAGGCTGCGGAGGTCAGAGGGCAGGGAGGGCTCCTTTAAAACCAGTTTATGGTTGTGTTGGTCACAGACTTGCGATTCAGTTGTAACCGAAAAAGCACTGCAGTCGATTTAAAAATACCAGCCTACGTGTCTAATTGAGTTTTGTTGATGTGTGTGTGTTGTATGTGTGTTAATGTGTTGTATGTGTGTTAACGTGTTGTATGTGTGTGTGTGTGTGTGTGTGTGTGTGTGTGTGTTAGCATGCTGTCGTCTCGTGTTTTAGCTCCTCTAAAATATTTAAGCCCTCCGACCTAAAAGCCTTTTGGTCGTCATGTTATTTTTATAAGACACAGATATACACACGTGCACACACACACACACACACACACACACACACACACACACATTAAAACACACTCTTAATAACACACTGATGATCAGCAGGACGGGTCAGTGACATCACTCTGA